TGGTGTAGAAGAAGGTCCTTCATGGTAAGTCCACTGTAGTATGTTTCTGTAGGAGAAAAGGCTCAGGAAAAAGGTCTTAGGTAAGGAAGGCAGATTTCAGTAGAAAGTTGGGAAAAAGATTCATTCAAGAGTGGGACCAGTGACCCAAGGAGATGGAAGGCTTCCTCTCACTGGATGAGTTCAAGCTGAGGTTGGACAGCTGTCAGGGAAGCCATAATGAAGGTTCCTGCATTGTTCGGGACAGATGTAATGGGAAGAAGGAATAACCCTGAGGAACAAGAGGAAGAGCCGCAAAGAAGATAGCAGTCAGATGAAAGAAATCTGAATCCGGGGCAGAACTGTAATTTGAGAAAGTGTCTCAGAAATGACCCTCCCTAATTCTCATGAAGGAGGGAGGGGGGAAAGCACATCGAGGCTTGCAAGATTCTGTTACTATAACTTTCCAATAAAAGTAGTATTAGTTTGTGTGTCTTTGGTTTCCACGTTTGATCTACCTTGGGGGGATGACATCAACTGCCTATAAGATGGCCTGCATGGCCCCTTTGAACGCTGTGATTCTGAGAATATGAGCAGGTTTCTTCTATTGTGTAACTGTTCCCTGATGTTTATCATCCATCTCCCCTCTTCAAAACTGTAATTTGTATAGTTGGGTCCCCCTCTCCTTGATCTCATCAGCTTTGCTTTACTGAAGAATTATTTCTCTAAAAAGCATAATTAGTTTGTTTTGGGAAGCATGACACGGTCATTTTAGTATAATCCCAGATTGGTAGGGCAAGGCAGAAAAATCGGCATTGATTTATAGGCATCCAGGTTTTTGCAAAGAAATCAGGCCCTGCCACGTCTTAGACACAGAAATCCCTGGGATTTCGATTTCATGGAGTTGCAAGGTCATATTAGAGAAAATGGGAGTGTTCGTTCATTTTACAGGTCTTATACTTTTATACCTTTGAATGGAGCTCTTAAATTTCCCAGTCTTTTGTCTTGTCAGTTCTCTGTAAGAACATATATCTGTTGGTCAGACTACTAAGTTGCACTTTAACATGAATGAAGTAATTGCCAAATCAGACATTCCTCTCCATGTTAAGGGCACAGTATAAAACTGGTCAAGTTACTACTGTCAAAAGAACATCAGAGCAATTTATTCCTAATGTTACTTGATAGCCAGAAAGAAATTTTCCTCTCCCAGTTCAAAATATAGCCAAGAATCAGAGGCTTCAAACTCAGAGGTTCCTGCCTATCACTTCTTGGAAAATTATGTGAGGCATTGAGCTAAAAATAAACGGATAAGGGCAGCGTCCGTAAAGTATAGCATCAGTAATATTTATGTTAGCTATTTTTTAGCAAGTCGCTCCTGAGCAATTGGAAACTGTTTAGCTAGTGCCTGTCTAGCAAGGTCTAACACCATTTTCCTATCAATTTCTTCTTTCCCCCTTGGATGCAATGTTGCAAAGGCTGCCTTGCCCAATCAAAATTCTTGCGTGTGATGAAGAAAATGTTTCATTAGCCAGAGAAGACACCCCATTGTGCAAGAGTTTTCAGGCCCAAAAGAAAATGGATCACTCAAATGGGTAATAATATGGGAGGTTAAAGGAGAAAAAAGCTTGCAACACAGTTTTTTTTTTTTTTAAAGCAGCGTTTAAATAACCAAAGTCTATTTACTCAGTAGTATAACTCCTTGATTTAAATTAGACTTGTGTATTTAGAATTGCAGTCTCTATGGTCTTATTAATGTACCAGCAGGAAGGGGAATTAAAAAGAGATTTCTCTTAGTAGGCTGTAGAATGTCCCAAGAGAAGGGTACAAAGAACAGGCAACCTCAGAAGCTTTGCTGCCAAATTTCCACCAGCCTTTTTAATTGCAGCACCAGCAGACGTAGACATTGGACGGCTAAAGTGGCAGGAATGATACTAGTCGTAATTCTGAACTGATGATGAATCTATTTTAGCTCTATCATTTTCCATATTTGATATTGTTAGCAAACCACCACCACTAAACTGACTTCTATTCTTTTACGAATTGAGCTGTTCCTCGTTTCGCTGAATCGCTTTGATTTGTTATGGTGTCTCTTTTTAAAAATGACATAGTATTAGTTACTTTGGTTGGTCTTCAGCCAAAATTAGTGTGTATTATTGGTTTTGAAAATAAATGAAATTGTGTAGAACTATTGCAGGTATATGAAAGTAATACTATGTTTTCTTCCCCATATTATTTTACTATTTTATTTTAATAGGAGGGTTGTCTTAGATATGCTGGCAGTAAGTCAATGAAGGCAGATGACTTTTCATCTGTGTCTGATATTCCTTTTGGAGTGGAGAAATCATGTTAAAATCCAGTTGTCTTCCTTTTGAGTAATTATGGGTCTGTAATCAATCATAACCCTTGCTTTCCTTCTTTTCCCTCTTCTAACATTAAAGGACTTTTACAAGGCAAGTAATGTTTGCCACTTGAGGAACTACTCAGCTCTTTCACCCAAATTAAGTGCAAATTATGACACTGACACAGAGCTAATTAAGGAGATTGATATTATGAGCAAGGGTTTCATCAGGTTGTAGGTCAAGTCCAGTTGAGAAAGGTTTCAAACTAGTTTTGTTCATTAATAAGCTGAAGAGGATCGATGCGGATAGATAGTCTGAGCCTGAAGCCTCTTCATCTCCAGAAGAGGATTGTTCCAAAGAGTCTGTTTCATGCTAAAGTGTATTTGAACAGGTGGGCCGGTATCCAAAGAACTTTGGAACTGGTTGCCTGACTCTAAAAATTATTTTGGGCATTTTTCACTAATTATTTTTGCAACTGACAGAAGTTTCAGAATCATCTTGCAATATGGCAAGGTAGCATGCTGTTCAAAGACGGGGGGGTGGGGAATCTTACTGCGACAATACACTTTCTACTGGCTTTTTGGTCTTATTATTTGGCATTATTGTAAAATATCACAAAATCTCTGCCATAGTTACACATATTGTTACATCCTTTGAATAGTAGAAAATATTGCCTTTTCCAAAACAGATAGATCACAACTTTCCAACAACCATTCCTTGTCATCTGGAATATTTCCAATTTTCCAATTTCTTAATATAATTCTTTTAGCCACCTTCATGCTTGATACAATCATAATTCCTGATAAACAGTCCAAAGCTTTGGTATGTAATTCACCATTATATCAACAACTTTAACATTAAAATATTTTCCTATAAATCTGATTTTATACATTAATACACTATCCCAAAAAGATACTAAATGATCACATGACCATATCATATGGGTTGATGAGCCCTCAAATTTTTTACACCTCCAACGTAAAAAAATCTGATGTAGAAAGGCATAAGTGGCAAAGATGCTCATGCAAGGAAGGAAGGAAGCTGGTGAAGAAAGAATAGAGCGCTCAATTTTTTTATTTCTACTCTAAGTATAGTCAAAAAGTCAGTTTCTGCCAACTCTGAGCAAGCTCACTGAACTTTAGAACTGAAAGGACTCTTGTAAATGTCCTTTGACCTGAACAATGTTTACCATGCAAAAAGATTTATTGATTAAGTGCTATCAAGTCAATGTCAACTTTTAGCAACCATATAAACAGACCTGCTCCAGTATGTTCTGTCACTAGCCTGGCTCTGAAGATCCCCAAATGGTGTACCTGTTGCTGCTCTAATCAAGTCCATCCATCTTACTGTTGATCATCCTCTTCCACTAATTTCTTCCACCTATCCCAGCATTAAAAACTCCTTGGATCTTTGCATAATATGATCAAAATATGACAGTTTTCCTCCTGGTCATTTGTGCCTCAAGTAAGAATTTGGATTGATTTCTTCTATGATCTATGTTTTGTTTTCTTGAATGTCCATGGTATTCTCAAGAATCTTCTCCAAGGAAGCAAAAAGAATAATTTTTCTATCCTGCTTCAAAGTTCAACTTTCATTTCAATAGAGTATGACAGGGAAAACTATTGCCTGCACGATTCAGAACTTTGTAGGAATAAACACATAACAACATCTGAATGTATTTTGCAAGGTCTTCACTGATACCCTACCCAGTATTTTTTGCCAGTAGTTCTTTTATAGTAGATAGTTAGTCCTAAAAAGCAGAACCTATCCACCACTTCAGTGTCTTCATTGTTCCTACACCTCTTGTCATTAGTTTGGTCCTCTTTATATTTAATCTGAGTCCCATTTTTCATTGTGCTCCATGACTTTCATTAGTAGACTTGCAGGTCATTGAGTATGTGATATAATATTTAGTGCATGTCCTAAAACTGAAAGTGATTAAGAAAATGAATCCATATGTTTTTATATATGATAAGTGTGGCGAGATTATTACATACACAAAGGTGGAAAGATTCGGCACTACCCACCATGGAGGAATGGTTGGTAAAGATGGTGGAACTTGCAGAGATGGCTAAATTGACTTCCTTGATTAGAGAAAAGATAATATCTACTTGCTGACTGGAAACCCCTTATAGACTTTTTGCGTGAAACAAAAAAATGAATTTATGATTTATGGTTTTGATGATTAGAAAAAAATAGATTACACAAAAAAGAGTGGGGTTTTTTTGTAACCAAAGGGTAAGAAGTAATTTTGTCTTTGTTTTTACACTTGCTATAAAGAAAATCAGAAACTACTTCTTTCTTTTCATTCTTTCTTTTTGCACTTTTGGTTTTTTCTTTGTTTTCTTTTTTCTTTTCTTTCTTTATATTAGTTCTTGTTAGTTTTTATCTCCTTTTTAAAATCTTTAATAAAAATTATATTAAAAAAAAGAAAGAAAATGAATCCATCATAATGGTACACTCCACTGTGCTTGAAGATCATTTGAATTCTATTAACTCTCCCTCCTTTTTAATATCAGGTCCAAGAACAAATCAGGTTGAGACCAAGCCCTCTTGTTTTGTATTCCCAGGTGACCTATTTGACTGGCAGAGACTTGCCTCATTTCAGGTCATTAGGAAAGAGAACATACAGTGCTTGATGTTTTCAACTTGCTTTATGTATTGATTGTTTTATCTATTTTGCAGTGTCTCGCCTGGCTTTGAAGGTATGAAGGAGCAAGAAATCTGTAACAAAATCATGGTCCACATGCTGGAAAACTACAGTCCCTTATTTGAATGGGAGCACCAGAAGAAGGAAGGAGGATGCAAGGAGTCACCGAAAATTATATTGGTGAAAGTGAGTGTTTAAAAGCTGAGTTGTGCTTTTGAACCATTCCCCCCACTGTGACTGTACACAAGGTCAGTTTAGTAAGTGTCCGGGTAATGTGGTCAAGAGTTTGAACTCTGGCCCTTGAGAATAAAGGGGATTTGGATTTGGGGCTTTTAATTTTTTACACTTTTTAATTGATCAAAACTGTACATTACTCACCTCTCTGTAGCTTTTTTTTCCCCCCAACACAACATGCACTTGTGTGTTTCTGTGTGTGTGCACATATGTGCGAGTATGCATGTCTCCATCCAGGGGCCTGTATGGCAATCAGAATGCAGCTACAGGAAGCAACAATCAAAGAAATGTAAGAAAAACAGTGCAAAGGTGTTGTTTTATTGATCTGCCATTACCTGATTTGTTTTTGTTGCTGTTGCTGTTCCCAAACATTATTGACTTTCTTCCAGGAAGAGAATATGTATCAACTGTCTCCTTCCGCTTTAGGAAGAAAATTTTGAGCAGGGAGTAGTGCAAAAGAAAAGGGTTAAAAACGTAATGGGAATGCTATCCTCAAAGGAGTAATAACATGCCATATTACAGCTGAAATCAGGACATTGAATGCTAATTGTTTGGTTCTGAGTCTAGTGAGAACTTGAAAGCCAGGAGGAAAATACCATAGCTATAGCCAGATAGCCTCTCTCTTCTGCCTTTGGTGGTGGGGGTCTTGTTAAATTCTCCCCCCCACCCCCATTCTCAGTTCAGGCCTTACTCTTTAGCCCAACAACTGTCATTAAATTCTGCGCCTGATGCTCCCTTTGGCAACTCAGCCCCAGCCCTTTGAAGAATCTGATGTCAGACAACTGTAATTGTTTTGGCCTTTGCTACTCCAGTCATTTAGGAGCTCATGTCTAATTATTCAACAGTGCTAAACCTGGATCTCTTAGTAGAGCTTGCAAATTGCCTGAAAACTTTCCATTTGGGCAGATTTCCCTATAACTTTAAATTCTCAGTTCTACTTAGAAACAGATGACTCACAGTCATCCATCATATGCCAACAATTATATTTTCCCCGAACAAACCTATACAATTCATACCTGGGTTTGCCCTTACACTCCAAAATCATTTTGCTGTTCTCATTTCCCTTCTCCACTTCTATCCCATTTGTTATTAGGTCCGGATTAAGCATGTAGCGTAAATGCAGGTTTAAAACAGACTGGAGGTACCAGATTCCCAAAAAATAAAATCTGTGTAAACATAGATGCAATTTATTATTATTATCATCATCTAGTGCTTAATATAATGCTGTTCAGTTGTGAACCAAACGGTGTCTTTCATCAGTATGAGTGCTAGTCAGTCTGAGATTCTGATCATCGTCTAAGTAGAATAGGAAGCAGCCTTGGAAAATAAGATATGTCCTTGAATGGTGTTATGTTCAAATGAAAGCCAGCAGCCATGCAACACTTGCAGTATGTTCACTTGGCCAAAAAAGTTATTTTTGGCTTTTTAGCATTTGCGATAATGATGTGAAACAATTTGCTTCGTGCTCTCACTCATGTAACAAACTGTCTTGGGGACTGTTTTGTAAACTAAGAGTCAAATGCACATAAATACATGGATCATGGGAGAAAGGGATCTCTTTACTTTTTTTTTTTTTGCCTCTCTTTAAACTTTTGTTTTTCTTGTTGCTGTTTATTAATTGATGGAGAGCTAGAAGCCTGGCGAGAGGGAGAGGTATAAATATGGGATGGGAATGTTTGATCAGGGAGAATGCACACTTATTTGCTGACATTCTTGGTAAGTTGGCCCATCATTTGATCTTTGGTTGGTGACACTATAGTCTGGAACTCAAGAAGGTCCATAAAAAGAACAGTCATACATTCTTTGTTTGATTCTTAAATAAGCAGACCTTTGGAAAGTGACAGAAAAGTCATTAAATAAAACACTGCACAGATATTCCAGTTTTTGAAAATATCATAGATTTATTGATGTAAATCTAGGTCTGGAATATATACATTGATAAAAACGTTTGACACAAGAGTACAGTACTTACATTCTGGGAGAGAAGATGGTGTTCTTTCAGGTTGTCTGCTCATAAATACATGTCCAACACAAGACATTAACTAATAAGTAAATATTCTATAAAAGGAAAACTTATGCTGAAACCCATTCAGCATTCTGAAATGGATAGCATGGGGTCTTCTTATTTAGGCATAGTTGAGATAGTCCTGTTAAGCAATCACTTTTCCAGTCTTGAAATAGAAACATCTTAGTTATTTGAAATTGTATCTTTTAATTCAATTTTTGTGTGTGTTAACTTGTAATAAGCTTGTGTTTTTGTTAAGAAGCGTGAGAAAGACACTTAAAGTTTAGCAATATACTTCAAAAATTCTAAGCGTGTGTGATAACGGTTACAGTAATGGTTTAACTATAACAGAGACATACAAACAGATTGTTTAATAGAGAGCAGTTGCTCACATTTTGTCTGGGTTGGTTGGATTAGAGAAGAGAGCTGATGAACCTGGTTTAGTGCACATATTGTATTTTCCACAGGGTTGTGCCAAAATCTTATCTTTGTAGTTTGTTTTCCCCCCTTGGTGTTGCTGGTAAAAGCATTTACCATAAGGCAATTGGTCATTGTCTGGTAATAACTCCCTTTCCTGTCAAACATAATGTATTCCAGCTGTTAATTTAACTAAGAAAACTTCTAGGTCATGTTTTGGGTTGATGCAAGAAATACCATCTAATCACTGAGTGCATTCACCCATAAAGCTAGATTAAAATTTTCAACCAAAATTATTGGAGAAGCCTGGTTCACATATAATACTAAGCCATAATAATTGGGCTTCAGGGCAGTGTTAAGCCTAAACATAAACCAATTATAACATGGCTTACGGTTATGAACAAACCTGGCCTTTGAGTTGTCTATCACTGCTACAGCACTATTGCCATATGTTGGTTCTCAGTTGCCACCGGGGAACAGACTAAACATAAGTGGTATACAGTAGATCTGGGCATGTTTAAGCATTATTAACAAAACTTTGGTGGGTTTCTTTCCAAGAGAACATTTTATTCTTGCAGATCATTTAGTATTTCATTGAGCAGATGGATTTAAAAAAAAAAAAGAGCAAAAGAAAAAAATCCATTGGAATATTCTTCACTGGTGAGATTAAAATACACTCTCTTCTAGGTGAAAGTTTATGAGCTCCTGCAGCCTTTCCCTTTAGTGTCCTGCAGAGCTGCCAAGGAGAGAGAGACTGTTTTATGGTAGACAGCTCACTGTCATTGTTTTGACATGTCTTTCTAATGATACTGCAGCTCTAAATAACTTCCCCCTATGATTTTTTTATTAATTATGGGCCATCAGGTTTGTTTATTTGTAGGCTGCCCAACGTCCAACAATTATGGGTGTCTTACAATTAAAAATAAGGGGGATAAAACCTAAAAGAAATAATAAGCAACCTGAAGGCAAACAAGTAAACCAAAAAAAAAAAAGAAGTCAACTCCTGGTGACCACATAACTAGACGTTCCCCAACATGGCCCTTCAGGTCTTCTGTCCCCAGCATGACAGAAGATGATAATCTGTCCTCACCATAGCCCTTCAGGTCTTCTAATGGTATACCCATTGCTGCTGTAATCCATCCACCTTGCTGCTGGTCATCTTCCCTTTCCTTCTACTTTTTCCAACATTATTGACTTCTGTAGGGAGTTGAGTCTTCACATAATGGGTCCAAAATATGATAATTTGAATATGGTAATTTGTGCCTTGGCGAGAACTTTGGATTGATTTGTTCTATGATTCCTTCGTTTGTTTTCTTTGATATCCATGATATTCTCAGAAGTCTTCTTCAAAACCAGAGTTCAAAACCACTGACATTTTTTCTGTTGCTTCAGAATTCATTTTTTTACTTTCATGGAGTATTGCAGGAAAACCATTTCCTCCATTATTTTGATCTTTTAGGTGTAGCTATATGCCACAGCATCTGAATATCTTTCCAGAACACATAAATAGATTTTTTTTTCCTTATTGATAACATTGGTGAGAACACTGTTAAACTGTAACTAAGTTCTCATACCACACAAAACCGTACCACAGATGGATAATGATCTGAGCTTCCATGCACCAAAGAAGCAAGTGATGGTTCCACATTGTTTCTCGATTTTGGTCTTTAAGCCCTTCTGGTACTCAGCCTCATAAATTCTTTTCCTCATGATGTAGTGGATGAACCATTTTTTCTTCTATAGTTAACCCATTAGAATATCACAGTATAATGTTTTACAAACCTAACCCTAGCCCCTTTCCTCCAAACCCAGGAAACCCTTCCGAATCTTCTAACAAACCACAACAGTAGCAGCTACCTGAAATGTTGGCAATATGGCAGGCCTACCTCCTTGAACACAGTTAACATAAATACTGGTTTGCTACCAAGCTTGGACTTCCTATCACTGCTTTTGATGAAGTACATCAAGAATGCCAGACACAGAGGCTTTGTTTTTAGGTGTTTCGTTTTAGTCAATCCAATTGTGATAAAGAAAGCATTCAAATGGAAGAGAGCATTTCAATACATATCTTTATTTGAAACTCAACTGTATGTCAAGTGAAACAGCAGCCTGTTCTTGTTTCAGGATATATCTGCAGACGTATTTTTATTAACTGCTTTTGATGTTTCCTGATAGGAGGCTAGTTGCAAGCCGACCCCGTCAATCATGCTGACGAGTCTTGAGACAGAAACACCAAAGCCGAGGCCAAGAACAAAGGTACAGAAAATGACTGTATTAATCTTTTCTGTGGCTGCTTTTCATTTTCCTTTTATCTGCATTGTCGTCTCTTTTTCATGGGATTAGGAGCTGTAGTTTTGAAATGCGTCAGATTTGGGAGGTCTGGGAAGAAATTCTGAGATTTAGCCATGCTCATAAAGTCCCGGAATCACATCACTGCTCCAGAAGCTTCTACACAAGAGGAGTTCCCTTTGCCATCCCCTGCCTAACCAAACAAGTTGGTGCTGTTCTTGACTGCAGCCAGAAGTCTCAATGGAGGCATGACCCCGGGGTGCAGCTAGGCTTAGGCTGGGTTCCCACAACATGCTAAATTCTAAACCCATTAACAAAACCTAGTTGCTACATTTACATAATAAATCCTGCTCAAATAAATAACTGTTTTATGGCTTGATATGGTGATGTTATGACCCCACAGAGGTGGCCTGCTAAGTCAGTGGCTGGGTTCCCTCACCATGCAGAATCAAAAACTACTCAGCCCCAGTTTAGCCTAATCTACTATGCGGTAGAGACAAAGCTAATGTCCATCTGTATGGACAAAGCCCTTTTAAGAGGCTTCTCTAACATACTATACAGTATCTAGGCACCCAAATGATGCAGGAGCTCAGTCCATTTCCTCTTCTTTTAGCTTTTAAAACTCTGGCAGGCATTGTCCACAGGCTTTCAAACAGTAGTAAGGGCTAGAAACATGAACATTTAAAACTGAAACGTGAGACAATAAAGGAGCTAACATCTGTAGCCCATGCCATCCATTTGTGTGCAAACATTTATTTTGGTCAAATGGTCTGTTACCATGAATCTCTAAATGAACGGAGACTAACCCAGCCTCTACATGGTATGGAGGTAATCATAACATATTATGAGAATGCTTATCAGATTTGTAAACAACCAAAAATTGAGGGAATAGCTAACATCCTAGAAGATAGGGAAGAAAATTTATTTATTTATTTATTTATTTATTGTATTTATTCTTACTGCAGTCTTAAGACTGATCCTAATAGATTAGAAAAGTTGGCTGACTGTAACAGAATAATATTTGAACAAAGACAAGTGTAAATTCTCCACTTATGAAACAAAGTATGGGTTGGTAATGGTATATGTGAAATAGACCTTGATTGCAAACAGTGGTATGATGTTATAGTAAGAAAAGGCAAACACGTTTTTTTAGAATGCATCAATAGAAGTTTAGCTTCCAAATCACAAAAGTGATTTATTTTTAATAAATATAATGCAAAATCCCCTTTATTTTGCATTAGGCAGATAAGAATGGGGTCCATTCCGCACATCACATTTTTAGAAGGATACAGGCAAATTGGAACAGATTTATAGAAGGGCAGTTCGAATAAAAGGAGAGTAGAAGCTAAGTCTTGGGAAGAAAAATTGAAGGAGTCGGGCAAGTTTAGCTTTTTGAAGGTAACGCTAAGAGGGGATATAATAGCACTCTTCAAATACCTGAAAGAAAATATAATGGTATGTGGGAATGACCTTGGGAGACAGGAGGAAAAGCTGTAGACTAGGCAGCGCTCAGTTAAGAGGCAGCTGAGCCTGCAGATGGAATGGGGGCATGGCAAATGTCTCAGAAGGGACTGTCCCTAGTTTCTTGGACTGTAAAGGCGAAGGGGGAAAGTTGTACTTTCAGACTTCTAAGATTCTGTTGCAGACTTACAATAAAGATAGAGCTAGTACTCCTGGGTGTGCTTCTTGTCTGGACTACCTCACAAG